CACGGAGTAACTACTATCTACTCAGTCAGAGAAATTAAGTGTTCCTTTCAGTGTTATCATCAGAGCCAGCCTTAAGATGGAGCAAAGTCTAAGGCAATTTGTTTTAGGCCAAGCTTTAGAATATATAATTTTTTATAACCGAAGGACTGGGTTAGGGTTTTTGAATGTTATACATACGGTGTGCATGAGTTTTATAAGTTTCAAGTCTTATGAATAAGAAAAAACAAATTTGAATAGCTATATAATTAATCAATTATTTTGTGTAGATGGTGCATTAAAAAAAAAATCTTCAAATCAAATGATTCCTTGTATGAACAATATAAATATATGGGGTCAAAACTTAGAAGGTTATTTTAAGGATGCAATTGAAACAAAAACTATCAGTGATTGGATGATAGCTGTTGCTCCAAGTGTTAGTTATGAGTATGTGCAGTTATATTTTCAAGTGGATGAACATTTCAATATTAATTTTATATATTTATGTTTAGATTATGGACAAAAATGTGTGATATATATGCCAGTCAACTAGAAGATGTTGGAGAAGTTACTAAAGCATCTACATATTTAGTAGCTATAAAAAAAATTAATGAAGCTGCTACAATGTTACTAAAAAATAATCTGTTCCGCGAAGCTTTAGCAGTTGTTAAGAGCCAAGATAAGCAGAATGATGAGATCGTATTGAGAATAACTAAAAAGTGGGCCGAATACAATGTTCTTCATGGACATCCCAAAGAAGCTGCTCATTGGTTAGAATATTATTATAAATCTAGTATTAAAAATTATATGTTTACTTAAATTGTTAAATTATGAAATTATTTTTTAGTTTCTTAAGTATTGGTGACACGCTAAATGCTATTTCATGTCTTACAAAAGTTAAACAAGTCAAAGAATTATCATTAGCTGCCAAATTAGCTAGGTATATTGATGAAGATATGGAAGAGTCATTGGTTGTTAATATACTGAAAACCGAACATTTTAAGCATCACAAATGGAATGAAGCAAGAGAGTTTCTAAAAAATCATCCTAAACTTAATGTAAGTTATTTCCATTTATTTAGTTTTAATTAAAGATACCAAATACCATAAGAAACTTCAAATGCATTTTGTAATTTTATTTTAGTAGCATATAATGTTTCAATGTCTTTTCCCTATAGTTCTAATATACATATTTTTGCATTATGAATCCATTTTACATTTTGGTTTTTCAATCAATTGTTATTAATTTATAATCACGTTTAATTAGGTATTATTTTAAAAGAGTTCAAAACTAATTTAATAGAATTTTAAATTCTTAGTAATATAGTATAGTTTAACATTTCTACTCGCATTATACATATAATAATTTAAAATTAATTTAAAAAAGATGTGTGACATCATTAGACTGGTTACGCTGGTCACGCTGTTATTGTTTATTTTGTATGTGTAAAAACTAAAAGTTGTTAGCTTCACACAATCATTTACTTACATTTTAATTTTAAAGTATGTTCTTGAATTTTTGCTATCCTTATGTAATGTGTTTTTTATGTTTTTATGATTTTGGTGGAACCAGAATTTTAAATCTCATAAAATAAATTTTTGTTTTATACTTCTTGTAACTGCAACAGTTACTTTTGACACATGACATGGTGCAACTRGCCATTATCTCCTTTAGTATGGTACATAGAGTAATATTACTCTATGGTATGGTAATCCTTCATTATCTGCTGGGATTACGTTCCAGAAAAGTTGTGACGATATCAAAAAGACAAATAATGAGACCATAAAGCAATGTAAAAAGGGAGATTAGAGTATATTTACATTGTATTTAATTTTAAAATCACAAAAGATAATATTTTTTATAATTATGTGTTTGTTTAATTATTTTTTTAATTATACGTGATTTATTATGTAATTTATTAATTATCTATCATAAATACATTATGAATGATGAAAAAAAAAACCATTGGACAAATTAACAATATAAGTAAATAAATAAGTCATAATGTAATGCTTATATGTGGATACAATACATATAAACATAGATATTGGGGGTGTAGTGCCCGAGCTAATTAAGGCATTAGTTGTGACGCGAATACCGGTCATGGGCGGCATCACTTTCCGGGCAGTTTGCTGTCTGGAAAGAGAGGCTGCTGCCCCCCACCCTAGTATGGCAGAAACCTACAGGTGCCCATTCGAAATTCTGCCAAACATCCAAGTGTTTCAACCAACCGTTCACTCCCCCACTGTTCCATAGGCCCCTTAATGACCTTTGCTGTCGATGCCTCAATCCTAATAAAAA